ATTTCTTTGTTCGTATCTGGTTTCGCGTTCCTACGTAACTCCTTAACTCGATTTTTCTCTCGAGCACTTTTATTTATTTTTCTTTTTAATTTTTCTGCGTGCGTTTTTTTCCTTTTCTCGCTGACGTATCTCGACCCAAGCTCCGCATCTTCTCCGAGCTTAAAAACAACGACAACTCGCATAGAAAGGACAAGTACTTGGGAGAAATGTACAGTACCTGAACTTATATTATTGTACCTTTTCTTCATTGCGGTGAAGCAGAACGACGAAACTTCTAACTCAAGCGAATTGAAAAGCAACATTTCCTCTAACTAAAGTTGTTCGCTTTTTTAGCGACTTTTTTGCACTCTCTTGTGCGCGTCGAGCTCACAAAAGCCGTTTTGCGGTTTCTCGTGGCGCCAGCGTATAATGGAAGAGCTACGCGATTTTGAATTGGTTTTATTACGCTTTCACTCTTTGGTTTTAAGTTTCTTTATTTTATTTCGTGTTCTTTTTTTTTTTACTTTGATTTATTCGACAGGTACTCACCCAAAATTGTATGGTGTGCTTAGAGGGAATCCTCAAGAAAGAGCATATTTTGGCGGAGCGCTGAAAATGCTAAAAGCTTGGCTCCTTTTTGAAGTTGGTGTCTTACTGATTTGATGTCCATTCCGGAAGCTTTTACCTTTCTGCTGAAATCTTGTTAAAAAGGGTGAGAGTCTTGGTAATACTCCAATCATGTCAATCTACACTCTAAAAAGAAAAAAAAAATCCGTTCTTTGAAGATTTTTTTGGCGCCCCAAGAACACTTTCAGTTCGTGAAGAACGGATTCGCCTCAAGAATTATCGCCCCCTGGCGCACGAGAAAGGAAACTGGGCGACGAAGAACTCTTTCGCATAAAGAAACGAGCTTAAAACAACCTGTTATAGGTTTTTCTCGAAGAACCCTTTTAGGGGGTTCTTAAAATAACTTTTTAGGGTGCAAAATATGGACAAGCCGAAGAACCGGGTAAGAGATATTTTAAGACCAGATTTGTTTTAGAGTGTATAGCGCACGGTTGTTGAGCGGATTTAAGTGTCTGTTTATAGACTTTCTTCTCTGGTTTTTGTTTTTTGCTCTTTTTGTATTCGTTCAGACTTATGTAAGTTTATATTATTAAATTATTTCGAAGTCTAATCTACAGCTATACATTTTTTTTTAATTATTATAAGGATGTGGACTTGGCGCCGACGCTGGAACGTTGAAATTAATGAGTGTTATTATTTTGTCGGAAGTGCGGCATGGCTTGTGGCGAGTAAACTGCGGCTCGGAGCACTCTGAGGCTGCAAAATCCAAAATCTCTAGGTTCCGTAGCGTTCAAAACTCGCCCGTGCCCATGTTGATCTAGATGAGCATCGTACCAGCATGCGGTCGTTTAATGACTATTGCGCGATGTGAGTGAAAGGTCCCAGGTTAGTGGACATACTGCACTGGTCAAGTCTGTCAACTGTAGCGTGAACCAGTGTAGCCAAAATATGGCGGACCGACCTGGCCCTGTGTCAGCACCTACTATTTCATTTGGTCTACTTTTGTGTGGCTTCGTCATGAAATGCGACTTTAAGCGTGTTCTGAGTCGTACAACTCTCATCGCCAAGTTCAGTAGGGACGTTGCTGACCAACGCTATGACGTACACTGAGCAACTACAAGATTATTGCTAACACAACATCGTTGCGTTTTTTTTTTCTTCGACAGAATACTGGCAGAAATAAAAGTTAACCGCCTATAGATTTGTGCCCCAAATAAGCCCTTTCCACCACCGAGTTTTAATGACAAACTATCGATTGTAAGAAAGAGAAATCCAGCGATACTTTGCTAGTGTTAACATGTCAAGCTAAGCATGTTCCTTATGTTCTATGAAGGTCCGATAGTTGAAGTACAAAAAAGGAACAGGACTCCCAGGCCCAGATGAACGTGTTGAGTGCTCACTGTATTTTCTTTTTGCTCGTTACAATATTATTTGTAAGATGTTAAATTGTGTAGGTGAAAACGATCTCCTGCTACCGACATATAGAGCCACAGAATCACTGGTCTGCAGTTTCTTTTATTTTTTTTCCAGTCTGTACAAACGTAGCGGCGCAGTCCTTGATGATAAAATGATCCAATTGTAAAATGAATTATATTTGTGGGGCAAATAACAGTTCTCGATTAGTTTGACTTCAGGAAATCTGAGAGTTGGCATGTCCCGCTGACCTGCCAACAAATTTGCCGATCCGCTAAAGATCTTGTGTAATCTTTTACTGTTCATATGAAATCGAATGTAGAACATACCAATATGTCGCCAAAATAATATATGGTATGATAGCTACCTGTTTAACAACTTTCTAATGATGTGACAACCTCGCTAAAGTCACCATGTACGGATGCTTTTTTCGAGGCATTATAACATTCTTTGATGATGCATTTGACCCCCACAGGCCATAATCTGCATCTTAAAGTCCCCGGGTCAGCAGCCGCTGACCAAAAATATTTCTTTACAGCTTTGGAACAATATTTCAGAACCTTATCAGCTGATTGGCCTCGCACTTCATAAACATCACGACGTCGAACTTGCTTTTATTTGTTCAGGTATCCGCACTCGCATGCAATATTATCTTAGGCTAGACAAAATAAAACCGAGCTGCGATACCAAGGATTACAACCTTTGTAGAGTTCCGCTTAAATTTCTCCCCTTCAAAGTTTATATATATATATAAAAAAAAAATCAAGTACAGGAATTTCCGTGTATATTCCGTAAAAGGAAATTTTGCTTGAAAAATAAAAGCTTTTTCTTTAGTTGGGACCTCGCGCATAGACACACTTGGCGCGTAAACCACACGGAAAACGTCCTATTCAATAGACACCTAGAGAAATGTTTGCTTTATTAGCTAACAAAGACGCCTATGTCATTCATAAATCTCGGCATGCTCTGTCAGCGCTCATATCGCTCAGTCTTTCTTCGCCCTTGTCAGTCGCGTTGTTTATATTATGAATATGTACAAACTAGCCCAGGCTATCCATCCTGTTAAAGCTCTGTCATTCAAATGCGTCTCTTCGTAATAAACTATATAAAAAAAAAATATCCTAGTATATTTCGCTCCTATAGATACTCCGCGAAAAATATAAAGCTTTAAACTCGTATATTTCGCATACTATGGTCTGGAATCTACGGTACGTTGGAACATGTGATTGACCCGGTCGGAATCTGCTAATTTTATCCACTTCAAGATTATTTGCTGTCTTGTATCTATTTTTTCTTGGTAACCTTTCTTGTACAGCTCAACGATGAAACGGTTGAAATATAGAATTAAGAAAGCGGCTCGATTGCGTACTAACCGAAAACTGTGGTGAAACATTCGATCATGCGCGCCTTTACAAAGTCCTTTTTAATGAAAAGGACGTTCTCCAAAAATATAGACTATACTCGGGGTCAAAGTTTCTTGGAAATTAAACGAAAACTATATAGGGTACTAGTAGCGACTACATCGAAATCGACAGCACCTATCGGCTAGAACAGAGAGCTGTGGCGGGCTTAAGCTGGAGCTCGTTGGTTCATACCGCAGGTAAGGCTAGCTGAACTAGGGTAAACATGCACACAAAGACCGTACACACCCGTGCCGCATGGGCATTTACAACGAATGGCGTTTGAGCGGACGGCCAATGAGAGCGTGACACTCCGGGCGTGGCGCGTTCAACGCGCGACAGATTGCGAGCTGATTCGCCGATCACACAAATGTTTTTTTTTTTTCTTTCTACTGCAGCGCGAAAGGAGGTGCACTAACGTAGTCATTGCCGTTTTCCTCAATGGCTAGGGCCTTCCGGATTTCACGTCCCAGTTTTGTCCTGTTCCTTGCCACGATTTTTACGTCGTAGAACGGTGCTGAACATTGACGCGCACGACAATGGTTTGGCAAATCTCCTCCTGCTGACAGGATTTCCAATGATGTAGTGTACTCCCTTGTCCGATCGTTGACGCATCGGCCGGTTTGTCCAATGTGACTTCGGCCGCATGTCAGCGGAAACGCCCAGCATACACGGCGTTTTGAAACTTGTGCGCTGTGTTACACACCCTCTCATTGTTGCTTCGCTCCTGGTTACCCCTGCGACACATGGAAGAGGTTTTGTTCGGAGCCAAACACAGCACCTGAACGGTGTAGTCACCACAGCACTTCCATCCGTCCTAAAAAACATTTGTCAGCATGAAGTCGAGCGAAGTTTTAAAACTCAAGTCTCTAGACTACAGGAAGCTGGATATCCAAAATCGCTCCTAGTAGCGATTTAGGATATCCAGGACTATCAAGCACGGATTTGGGTGCGCGGATAAAACTATAAAGGAAAAGAAAGAGATCCCACATGTGGTAACGGTAGCGCCCTATGTTCACCGGATGACCCACAAGTTAGAAAAGGTTGCTGGACGGCAAGGCGTTCAGGTGATGTGTTCGGCTCCGAGAACAAAGCCTCTTCCATGTGTCGCAGGGTTAACCTGGAGCAAAGCAACACAGAGAGGGTGTGTGCCACAGCGCACAACTTTCAAAGCGCACTTTGTGAGAAGGAGATTGTGTACCACATTCCGCTGACATGCGGCCGAAGTTACATTGGACGAACCGCCCGATGCGTCAATGATCATACGAGGTAGCACGCCACATCAGTGAAAAACCTGTCAGCAGGAGGACATATCCCAATCTATTGTCGCGCGTGTCAATGTTCAGCACGGTTCTACGACGTAAATATTGTGGCAAGGAACAAGACAAAACTGGGACGTGAAATCCTGAAGGTTCTTGCCATTGAGGAGAAGGGACATGACTGCGTTAGTGTACCTTCTCTCGGGCTATACGGGAAAGAAAAAAAAAAGTTCCTTCGGGGGTAAAATATTCGGTGAAGTAGGAAGGAAAAAGAAGATGAAAAGAGAATATTTCTCTCATGTGGGGCTCGTAGAGGAGGAAAAAGAAAAGTCAGTTGTTAGCCCAGTTCAGAAAGCGTTTATTGGCCATAAAATAAGGGTAAGGGATGGGGGAGTGCGTCGGCGGCTGCGAGGTCTGGACGCTGGCAAAAAAAGAAAATATTAAACTAGGCTAAATAAAGATATCCAGGTTCGCCTCGTAGATGAAATCTATGAGACTTCGCAGGATGCTTCTCTTGTTGTCCTCTTCGCCTGGCGGGTGTGTCCAACCTTCCAGAGAGGCGACGTTACTCGGTCGGTGCTTCGACCTGGTGATCTTGTATTTGGGGCATTCCCACAACAAGTGAAAAGTGTCCGCCTTGGCACCCATATTGCACTTGGTGCAGGTGCCGGATCTCTTCCCGCGGCTCCAAGATGCTATGCGCGCTGGTGTTAATGTTGTGTCTGTTCTGATCCTGGTCAGGAGGACCTTGGCCCTTCTTCCAAACCCTGTTGGCAGAGGAGGGTTTGGTGTTGGGGGAAGTTTCTCCCAGAGTGTTGATTGGTATTCTTGCTTGATTTGGGCACGTTCCTCTCCTGGATCGTACCCTCCATCGTTGCAGTCTTCCTCTCGTGCTCGACTAGCCGGTGCCCGATCGCGGACGGGAGCGTAGCCGTGGTCGTGGTCTTGCAGTGAAGGTGTATCGTCTCGTTCACGGGGAGCGAGAAGGGACGCGCGGGCGAGTCGATGCACCTCTTTGTTGCCGGGTATTCCTGCGTGTGCTGGAACCCAGGCTATTCTCGTAGTCGTGCCTCTTGCTAGTAGCAGTGAGGCGAGTTTCTTGATATTACGCACGTCTACGCTAGGGCTTCTTGATTTTCTGCATTCTTTTACCACTTCCTGAGAGTCCGTAAATATCCGGATATGCTCTGGTGGTGGTTCAGGTAATGCAAGGGCCGTCTCGAGGGCAAGGCGGACTGCTGCAAGTTCTCCCCCTTTCACCGAGGTGCGGGCTGGAAGGTTCTTGGTTGCGCTTGTGCCTAGTGTTGGAAAGATAACAGCCGCGGTCTTTAGAGTGACTGGGCCGTCTATCGAAGCAGTGTCCGTGTATGCAGCCACGATCCCGTTCGTTCCTTCTTCCCACGCCTCAGTCATCTTGATATGTGCCCTAGCGAGGCGGTCTTGTTGCTTTTTGTCGCCCTTCCGCGTGCTTGGCTTGTTGTCTGTGATTTCTGCGTGATCTTCCCATGGCGGGAGTTCCTGTGGTAGCTTGGGTAGGTCTCCGGTACATCTTAATAGGAGTTCCAGGATCCTTCTCCCTTGTCGTGTGTGCTTAAGTCTCTCCCCGTGTGCGACCGTGCGGGCAACAACGGTTTCGTGTAGGGAGTTAATCTGAGCGTGTTCGTTCAGCTTGCCCAGGGGGCAGAACTTGTGCAGGCCCGTGATTATTCTTTTTGCTTGGTTGTTCAGAGCTTCGAGCTTCTGCCATTGCGCCTTGGTCAGCCAGTAGTGTCGAGCCTCGTAGCAGACACGCGAAACTACTAAAGCTTTAACCATTCTTCTGGCAATTTCTTCTGACGCTCCACCCCTTGCGCTACAGATGCGCCGAATGGCATTAAGGGCAGAGTTGCAATGTTTAAGTGTGTCCTGGAGCCAGATGTCTGCCTTACCGGTCTCCTCAATAGTGATCCCTAATATCTTGACAGACGTGGATGGCTCGATTCGCTTGCCTGCAAGAACGAGGTTTAGTTGTTCTGCAATCTTGGCGAGACGGTGTCTTTTCGGTGCGATTACGGTGTAGTTGGTTTTCTCCGGAGAGGCTTGCATTTTCACCCTGCATAGGTGGGCTTCGATTGTATCTAGGCCCGCTTGTAGAGTGTCTTGCTGTCTTGCAATGTCGTCGTTCTTGGTCCATATCGAGACGTCATCCGCGTACACGGTGAAGCCCAAGTTGGGGATCTTTGCAAGTTCGTGAGGCAGGGCTGCCATCGCGATATTAAAGAGCGTTGGTGACAGCACGGAGCCTTGTGGGACTCCGACTCGGTTCACTCTCGGTTCGCTGTCGTGCGAGCCGCAGCGTACCGAGAACGTTCTCCCTTCAAGGAAATTCTTGACAAAGTTCAGCGGCCTTCCGACTATGCCGAGTCTTCGGGCTTCGTTGATGACTGATGCGTGTGGGACCGAGTCAAAAGCTTTCTTGACATCAATCGCCACAATTGTTCTGATGGTTGCGCGGTTGGGGTTGATGTTTCGTATTACGTCAGCCGATATGAGGGCGAGGCTTTCTTGCGTTCCGAGACTCGGTCGAAACCCTGTCTGGGCGGGGTGGAAGGCGTCCGTAGATTCCAGATGCCATACGATTCTTGCAAGTACCATTCGTTCCATCAACTTGCATGTGCATGACGTTAGAGAGATTGGCCTGTAGCTGGAGAGTGCACCTTTGTCTTTGCCCGGCTTGGGAATTGGAATGACGAGGGAATGCTTCCACTGCTGGGGAAGCTTGCCAGTTTCCCAGATCTGGTTGATCATGTCTAGGAGTTGTTCTTTCGTGTTGTCTGGGAGGTTTCGTAGCATAGCCATAGTGATTTTCTTTTCTGGAGTTGTGGCGGCAGATTCGCTCGCCAACCTCCTCAGTTGAATTTAATGTCCCCAGCGCCTCGTGGTATAAAGAGGAAGCTGCGAAAGCAGGTTCAAAAACTCGCGCTGAAAATCGTCCAGAAACCGTTCTTACAAGCCTGTATGTCTAAAGTTTTACGACACAACCGCTACCGCAATGCATGGAGGGAACTTTTGTTCATCTGCACGTGCTACAACCACGCTGAAGCTCTGCACGTGCAGAGCACGAAACGGCACGAGTCGTCTCGTGCACTGCCGCCTGCCTCCTGTGATATAAAGTTATGACGGTCTCATGCATGCGCCAAACGCTCGATGAGATCCGTCTATTCACTGGCTGTCATAGCTGAGTGCGCGGCTGCTGAGCCGCGTGCCGACGGCAATTTTTTACAGTTATGTTGCAATGGGCATTTCACGCCATCAAGATTGCCGGTCTTAGTGTAATGTAGACGTAAGCTCGCTCTGAGCATGCACAAGGAACAGCGCACTTAGATATTACGCCCAACGAGACAATTGCAAGCATGGTGCCCTGACTAGTGCCCCATGCGCGCAAGCACGTGCAACGCGCGCGTGGACGTAGCTTTGCCAAGCTTGCAGTCGCACGTGCATGCCCGCACGAGTAGAGATATGGCGGCGGCCAGTCGCCCAGCTTGCAATCGTCTGTACAGCTTTTCCACAGTGGCGTCACCGTTGAATGTCGTCACTTCCGGTATGGGCGAAAATATAGCTTTGCCGTCGCGACGCCAATAGAAGACATTCAGAATATAAGTGTAATCGTCACTCATTCTCGTTTCGCTTCACCTCTACTTTTTGGTTATGTGCAAGTTGAAATGTTTCTTTTTTTTCGTCGCCCATACCGCGTATGTATGCCAGGTGGCTGGACGAGAGCAAACAAAAGCGGTCTTTAGGCGGTATTCAGTGGACGCCATATTTGTAGGCATTGTTTAGAGCGCACGCTCAGAATGAGCTCACATTAATAGGCTGCTAAGACCGGCAACCTTGATTCATGGTGTGAAATGCACGCTGCAAAAGAACTTTGGAAGCTCGCCATCAGCACGCGTTCAGCGGTCGCGCACACAGCTATGGCCGCCAACGCGGTCATCAGCACGAGCTATGAGAAAAACGAATTATTGTTTGCCATGAACAGCATCCGCGACGGCGAGAAATGAATCTGGCGAAAGCTTTCTGTGACCACGCGCTTGACTGCAGAGCGCATAGCTATAACCAGTGCCGTGTAGGGTGCCTCAATGTCCTTCTGTTAAGGGTGATGCCACCCTTTGTAGTACCCGATGCCGACAGCACGCGCTCACGGGTAAAATACAAAGAAATCGACGAAAACAAAATGTCGCCGTAGCACAGTCAGCGCCACGAGCGCGTGCAGGGACACGTTCCTTCACGCGCTTCTGAACAAAAAATAAAAATAAAAGTGTGAGACAAAATGGCCAGATGTCTCCACCCTAAGCAAAGCGCACATGAAGGCACCCTAGTGCCGTGTATATAGAGAGCTTGGTCAATGGGAGGCGCGGGAAGAGCCAGGGCGTGCGCCAGACTCGAAAAGAGGGCTTGCATGCTCCTTTGACCAACCAGAAGCCGAAAAGAATCCCCTAGCTGTGGTAGCGAGAAACAGTTCTAATCAAAGTTTATGTACGTATATGGTTTTAATACGCCCGTAAGAGTGAAGTGTAGTAACTCTTCGTGGTTGAAAATAGAGTGCACGTGAAGTTTCGATCATGATCATGCAGAAAGATGTAAGAAACCAATGCGTCGCTCAACTCTCTTTTGCTCGGACAGAGTGTGACCGCTCGCACGGCAGATTCTCGGCGCTTGGCGTAAGGATTACGTCGACCGTTCCGCTAGTCGCACTCTTCCACCATCATTTTGGATGAGCGTGATTGAAATATCGCGTGTACCATATTTTCAGTCACCGAGAGTCACTCTGATGCACTTATCAGGTTTGTTTCTCGCGACCACCGCCAGGGTATCATTTTCGGCTTCTGGTTGGTCACATTTGAATTTCTGAAGACGCCCTGGAACACGCCCAGTCCGTTTTCGGCCAATGGCGCCTCGTTATTGGCCAAACTCTTTACATATACGGCTCTGGCTATAACTGCCAGTGAATAAGATGATTGAAAACAGGGTATCTGGCCGCCGCCAAGTCTCTGGTCGTGCGGGCAAGTGCATGCAATAACAAGCCTGCCAAAGCTACGTCTACGCGCACGCTGCACATGCTTGCACGCATGAGGCACCAGTGAGGCGCCATGCTTGCGATTGTCTATTGGCGACGTGCGCGATCGAAAACGTCGCTGTGGTCGGCCTTCCCCGATTGGCCGAATGCTGACTATGACGTCAGGAAAGGATTTATCATCGACGGAAATAAGAGGAATGGAAGACCTTTAATTTTGACGGCGTTGGTAGTGTTGCTTTAAAAGCGCAATGATTTCAAGCTTCTACCTTGCTATTCACAAACACCATTGAACTTGTTGTTTGCAAGCTAATGACGTCACGAGAGGAAACCATAGGAAGGCGCCACCAAACATCTCGCCGCTAATAAGGAGTATTCACTGGCGGCCATATCCGTGTGCGCTGCTGCTGAGCGCGTGCTGACGGCGAGCTTCCGCAGTCCTTTTAAGGCGAGCTTTTAGCACCATCAAGGTTGCCGGTCTTAGCAGGCTATTAATGTTAGCTCGTTCTGAGTATGCGCTCTAAACATCGCCCTCAAATATGGCGTCCAGTGAATACCTCCAGAGTTCCTCAATACCACAAACGTTCTTCCATGTCGCTTTCATTACTTGCGCTCTCGCGCAAGTACTGTGGCCGCAAGTGTGACCGCGAGGTTTTCACGTCTAGAATGCCAGAAGAAGTGGCCCCAAAGTATGACTAAAATTTAAAAAAATATATATATTTAAACGTTCGAATAGAATCGGATTGCAGCATCTTTCAGAGAGTGAGCTCGTGGGCGTTTTCCGGGAGAATGCTGAAGACTCCACATGTTCTTAAACCGTGGATAGTTTAGGAGACATGATCGTAGCCGATACTACCTAGAAGGCAAGGCCTGTGTATGACGTTATCGTCGCTGGATCCCCGACAAGTCCCAGGCGGCAAACATTGTTATACCCGTGCCACACGGGCAACTCGAATGTCATTTACAACGAATGATATTTGAGCGGACGGCCAATCAGCGCGCGACACTCCGGGCGTCGCGCGTTCCACGCGCGATAGATTGCGAGCTGATTCGCCGATCACACAAATGTCATTCGTTGTAAATGGCATTCGAGTTGTCCGTGTGGCACGGGTATTAAACTCAAGGCGAGTCGCCGCAACGAGACGCATCCGTCTTGCTGTCGCCACGTGCTCGCGTCACTGTTCTCTACGCGGAGAGCAAGCCGTCTGCGTCTTCCGCAGGAGTTGCGCTGACGTCACAACGAATCCAAGCTCTGATTGGCTTTGATTGAAAGGGTAGTGGGTAGACCCCAATGCTAGGTTCCTGGAGATCCACCCACTGTTTTTTTTTTAATCAGTCAATAAAAGCTCGGCGTTTTGACATCATCGCAAACCCTGTGCAAGGAGCAGACGAACTTGCGCTCCGCATTGTAGTAGGCTGGATCGCGGATCGAGGCTTGCCTTGCTGGGGTCGAACGGCACCGCCGGCAGCCATCGCTCGACAACAGCTATTGCATGGGACTCCTTGGGAGAAACAGGGAAAACTGCGATTTGTTACAACTTTTATTGTGTTTTCCGGGAATGACAGTTAATACTATGGGCGCAAACATCAGAAACGCTAGAAAGCCAATATTTGTTTTTTAAATAAATGTTTTGAGATGTAAACTGTGATGTCATACAATGAGGCAAGGGTTGCCGAGGGTCAATCTGGAGCCGTCCGTGATCCTGAAGTCATCGGAGCTTAGCAGACGATAAGTTGGAAGTCATTTACTCGGAACATTCGCATCGTTTCGAGCGCTTGCACTTAATATACTTCTGGTGCTGAATCTTGCTTTGAACCGCAGGGGGGCTTCTGTGAAGAACTAAAACTCGGAGCTTGTCGTTCATTCGTTTAACTTGTCATTTATTTAGCGACTGACGGAAGGGACGCCGGCACTATCAGTAGTGCTCCGGCACGCTTGACATTTTTTTCCTCCTTTTTTTTTTTAAATCGGCATTTAAACGCTTGACGAATGCCGATTCAATCTCCAAGCACCCGATATAATGATCGCAGT